CAGCCGGGAGTCATATGTCTTCGCCCCGAGAGCATTACCGAGGTTCAGAAGATCGCGACGGTTTAAAATTACCATCGAATCGAATGTCAATGTATTTATTCAGAACGGATTACACAATAAAATTTGCGAAGCATGTAAGAACCCAGTTGAGTATTGCGCCGAACCTGAGTCTCGTGGCAGTGCCTGTGTTGTGGCGTAGTTGGGCCTGTGTACGCACTGAGCTGAAACAGTGAAACCCACCTTCCTTCTCGCCGCATCACCAGAAATACTTGGGGGTACGGGCCGTTGCAGAGCACGGCATAGACGAGAACTTCCTTGTGTGAAAATGTACACAGTGTGTTGGGTGAACTCAACAAGAAATCAAGTTGAAATCAAGCCAAATGTGATTGTGTGGCTGTGTAGAGAACCCGGTTTGCAGTGACGTGATGATTGTGACACCTTTGATCAACCTTTGATCCCTCCTTGCTCTGTCCAAATATCCAACTGGCAGAGGATTGAAAATGCCCCACGGTGCCCTGGACAGCTCAAGGAAGAGTGTTTGTGTGCATTTCTGCAGTCAGTTTGCCTTACACTGCCAAGCCCTGGTCCTCATTGATTAGCTAATAGCAGAAGATTATGTAAGTAGGCCATCTGACTTCCTTTGAACCTTCTGTGGCAACAGGACCCAGAGCTCACTACATCTTGGTGTGACTGTGGTGAAAAAGGCAAGTACTCAACAGGCCCAGCAGCACTGTGGAGTCACTTGGGGATCTATACCTAAGTATTACCTCTGTGCTCCAACATCCAGGCTTTTGATGAGAATGTGGGCTCTGCTCATACTTTCAGATGGAGATTCATCTTCAATCTACTCCAATATCTCACACAAAGGATGGAATCTCAGTGAGGGCACGGGGAATCAGTGTTGATGGATATGAACATCCATCACAGAGTTCATGTTCTTTTGGCTGCAAAGATTTTTTGTAATTTCTGAGGAGGGTGTTCTAGGCAATAGTCCACCTCCTTCTTCAGCCTGACAACATCCCAGAGATCCAGGGTCTCTGGTTAACTTGAAATGAGCTGATTGAACACGGCAGGTAAATCACAGATATCATATGTAATATCTGAAATGAGACCTCACCTTGGAGGAACAAAACTCGAGTCCATTTACTAGGAGTGTGATTGCAAAATCTCAGGTCATTTCAGCCGAAATAGAATGCTCTGGAGAGAAAGGAAAAACTCACTGATGGCAGCTGTCAAAATTGCTGATTGTGGCCGCAAAAAGGAAACAGCACAGCCACCCTCATCAAAAGTCTGAATCTGTATAAAAAGTTGTCAGGATTCTAGCCTGACTGAATTTTAAAAGAACGAGAACTTAGCAAGTAAGTTCTCGTAACCATCCACGGGAACCCAAGACCTAACATCCGCCAGTATTCTCCCAGGCAGGAATCGGATGCGATCCTTTAAGTCTTCCTTCTCTCCGTCTTCCTGTCGCGACGCCCTCGGACGAGCGAACCAATGTCTACCGGACAACCCACAGCATTCAACGGTCAGGTCCCATCCAGAAGCACCTCCGGCCAAGTAACGGTCATCTGAATCGTGAGTATTAGCACCGATGGAAATACGGCAAGTCCCCGTCCTGTGCGGCACTGGCTGCCTCGGACTTTCTGCGTATAAAAGGCTCGGCAACTTGTTTCAATCTATCTACAAGAATGTTCTTCTCCCTCGCCACATCGACCCTGCTTGCAGGATACGCCACCGCATCGCAAGCTCAACGCCTGTGGCCCTCACCCCAGTTGGACGCCCTCGATGCCGCACGATTCGACCAATCGGGTTTCAACGGCAACTTCCTCATGGTTTTCACCGGCCTTGACCGGTGCGACAACTTTCTCTTTGGAGGTGGGAGTACTGGGCGGTCGAATGCGGCTGATTGGATACGAACTGTTCGTATTCGACTTATTCTTTTCCGTTGCGTTGAATCTAACTTTCTTGCTGTTATAAAGGCGTACCACGACATGGCCACGCACAATGTTACGGACGGCACCGGCGGTCTGGACGCGTCGATCCGCTTCACGACGGAAAAATCGCGTCCAGAGGTATGTCGTACCTGTTGGTCGACGCATTCCCTCAGTGATCCATTTCAGAACGCCGGGGACGGTTTCAACAACACCTTCCAAGTCCTTTCCAGCGTGGCCAATCGTTATGTCGGATGTGCGTTCTTTTCTTTCAGATTGAACTCAGTCTCACGAATTGCTCTGGTAGTCGCGGACAGCCTGGCAGTTGCGGCTGTACTAGCTATCGAGAACTGGTGAGCCAAAGTGTCTCCACTTCGAGTTTCCTCTCTTACCAGGAATAGTGGGGGCCCAGAGATCGCGTTCCGCGGAGGCCGCATCGACGCAGGGGAGCCGAACGCTCCTGGTGTCCCGCAACCACAGGAGGATCTGGAAACACATATTGCGGCTTTCGCTCGCCAGGGCTTCACACCGACGGAGATGATCGGCTTGGTTGCCTGCGGGTGCGTGTTGTATTCGAGATGGGAAACTGAAATAACTGATGGTGTATTAGACACACCTTCGGAGGGGTCCAGCACACATTCTTCCCGGATATTGTTGATGAGTTGAACGACCCAGAGGACACGGAGGATGTAGCGCATTTCGACAGCACGTCCGTGAACTTTGATAATAACGTGTGAGTGTCCTCTGTTCTCTTCTCTTCATTATTCCGAGTTGAACCTTCTCGCAGGGCAAAGGAGTACATTTCCGGCAGCACGCAAAACCCGCTGGTCGTTGGGTTCAACGATACCACGAACTCGGACAAGCGCATCTTTGGGAGTGATGGGAATGTCACTATGAACTCGTGGGTATTGAACTTCTCTGAGAGTTACAATTCTAACTTTGTTCAACTCAGACTTGCATCCTCGCCGTCCTTGTACGCATCAACCTGTGCAGACCTATTCGCCCGCATGCTAGACACCGTGCCCCACGGCGTGCAGCTCACGGACGTGATCACCCCTCTGCCCGTCAAGCCAGCCAATGTCGAATTCACAATGGCGAATGATACGATGCTGCTCGGGGGACAAGTTCGGGTGCGTGCTCAAATCATTGGGCGATCATTCTCCCGCTGATACTCCGTCCAAGTTTTGGAATCACACTGAAGAGACGGCGGGCACGGTCCAAATGCTGTGGGATGACCAGCTCGGAGCCATCGGGAACACCACGCTTGGATTCGCAGGTGCCGGGTCGGCCACAGGAGGCAAGTACACCTCTGCGTGGTACGGATTCGACCCCACTGGTTTGTCATTCGCGACGCCCTCCCTCGACCCTGCAGCAGGTATCCAGCGCCTTCGATTCATTTTGAACGGTAAGCTGGAGGACCAAGGCGGGGTGGGGTCTGCTGTGCAGGACGCGTATATGTTCTCTTTGAGTTGTCGTGTTTGTATAATTCCAGTGTGTCGCCGGAGGGAGATGTCACTGCTAGTGGGAGGGTTGATATCGCGGTGAGTTTCACGGCTTTTGTGTATAACTACGACTGACACGAAAAATGCTCCTACAGGTTCGCAACGGCGTCAACCTCACCCGGGTCTACCTCGAGACTGTAACACAGGACGGCGAGGGGCGCATAGTCATTGTTGAGATAGACATTCCTCGTCCTGAGCAGCATATCGCTGTGAACTCGGCCTATTCGCTGTGGATTTTGAACACCACGAGTGTTGACGAATTCCCTGTCGGTGCGGAGATCGACGGTCAGACGTATTCGACGACGCAGCTCAGGAGTGTGTTGGACTCGGATTTCCTGCCGTGTGGTGTGTAGAGCTCAAATCAGATAGTCGAGATAACCCGAGGCAATCCTATGGAACTCATACATTACTTGTCGTGAATTATACATCATTTTAACCCATGTCCCTCATAAATAAACCAAGGCCTAGGCACCATGCCTCCACGGCCCATCAGCACGCGTCGGAAACGCCTGCATCCCAAGCGCACCAGGAACCCCCCTGGACAAAGACGGATCCGACTGGGCGTACGGGTATGGCGCGGGTCTAGGCGTGCCCGGCGGTGCTCCGTACGTGTAATCCTGCCTACGACCTCCGGGGGGAGGCGGGGGAGGTGGCGAGTGCGCCGTGAGCAGTGCCAACGGTTGGGGATCGGGTACGACGTTGATTCCTTGCGGCATCCTCGAGCTCCTGTGGCGTGAACTTCGTCCCCCATGGCCGGGAGTCGCTGGGGAAGGAGGCACGACGTTCAGGAATTGAGCTTGTTCAGGGACGATGATGCAGTCCGGATGTCCGTGGAAACTGGTGCTCAGTGTGTCGGGGAATGGGATGTAGGGTGATAGCTCGGCAGATGGGATGCGCTCTTTCATCCAGGCAGGGGTAGAAGTCCGGCTGGGAGTTGCAGGAGAGGTGGGTGTGCGACGCTCGACCGGCGAGCGGGGGCTAGATGGGTTGCGATGAGAGCTCATGATTCTGGAGTGGATTTGACTGGAGGAGTGCTGACTTTGCGGAGAGGACTTTATACGCACAACACAATTGCAGTCGAAACAATTAGGAAATTGACAATCAAGTGCTTCCGCGGAAACAATTACAGGTGACAATAGAGTGTGTCAGCATCTAAGCCCAGATAGATGAAAGAGAAAAGCCGCGTCGAGTTTCGATGTGTGGTGACTCGCCGCGAGAAGGTGACTCAAGAAAACGGCGTGAGAGAGCAAGCCGAATGCTGCCGAAGTCCCAACTGAGTGTCACATGCTATACTTCGAGTTTCGGCGTATTAGAGATTCATCGCGGACAATCCAAGGCGTGCACGATGGTCAAACGATGGTGGTGGGTGGTCAAGAGCTTCTGCACCACCACCTGCAGCCAGCGGCCATCACTGATCTCTTCCAGCTCTCGCAGGAGCACATCAGTGAGAAGGTTGAAGTTCCAAGTCTTTACTTGACCAAATACGCAGTGTGGGAAGAGAGGAGAAGATCTATCTAGAGTCCGGGGAGATTTCGCGAGGCAAAAGGAAGACGATGAAACAAAAGAACGACGCGAGCAGGACTTGAACCTGCGCTCGGAAACCGAAACAGATATAGGATCTGTTAAATCGCACATTCTAATCTGTCGCCTTAACCACTCGGCCATCGCGCCCCTAGCCAGACCTTTTGGACGTATCCCAATGGCCCTGGTGCCGAATCCGGGCAGTAGTCTCTTGCTTCCTACCACCATGCACGGTCCATTCTGCGCTTGTTCTCTCCGCCTAAGCTTTTGTCGTTAAAAGCTCATCTGCATCGTCCCTTGCTCCCTCATCGTCTTGACCGAGTCATGACTTCAGATTTGAGACTCGATATCTTGCCGGGTACCCATCTCCTCCCTGACCTTCCAGCTCCACATCTCATATACCCATAGGACTGTTCGGGGCGTCTCCGTCTCCATAAGATGCTGCCATCGTCACTGGCTCCTAGGTCAGCCTTCCGATGACCCTATCTTTGTGATTTCCAAGGTCGAACCTCGCGAATACTCAACAACGTCTCCGGCCAGCGACAGCCAATCATCATTCAGCGCATCGCAGCAAAATTGTTCTCATCGAAGATCTCGCAGGCTCCGCAGTCAACATCAGCTGAGTTGTAAATTTAAATGCATCAGAACAGCCCTGAAACACTGATGTATCTCCGCTGTCGACCTGCTCCTGTATATACAAGAGCGCTCTGAATCGCCTCCGAGGCAGTCCAGCTCACACATGTTCCCCGGATTGCAAGATTTCGCAGTTCTGACGAATCAAATCGGGTGCTATATCATGGGGGCAAGTTTCTATCTTCTGCGCCATGGCAACTGATGATCTCGGCGGGGCAGGCGGAAATGCTGTTATACGGTGAGCCCCCATGCTCCCTTCATTCTATGATCTCAATGTCAGGCATCCCAACTCCTAGGAGCGTATCTCGTGCTATTCGGATCCTACATGCATATGTTGTGCACCGGCGGAGCTCGGGTTCGGAAACATAGGAATTTGTTTCTCACCTCCGCCACAATATCTCTCTTCCTTCTGTCCACTATTCACTTGGCCCTCATACTAGCCATCACCGCTTTGGATGATCGATTTACTAGGGTCATCTTGACCGTCGGATCTGGTTCTGTGATGGAGAACACCATCGTCGATGCGGAGGATCATTTGGTGCGAGTTGCATTTGGGATCTATGTCACCGGCAAGTGCGTGCCTCCATCAAGCACAGTGCATCCAACAGTTAATACGTCCGAAGTGTGATAGCGGATGGCATTTTCGTGCGGAGTCTTGTGGAAGATCGGTAAAAAGCTATTAACACTCGCTTTGCAGATATTCAGATGCTACGCGATTTGGGGATTCAACCGTAAAATCGTTGTGGTTCCCATACTTGGCACCCTGTGCACTGCGGGTGAGTAGATCTCGCGGGCGTGTAAAAGTCCAAATGGAAGAAGATATAACTTTGTTACCCAGGTTTCGGATACGTGAATGCGGTTTTGGAGTCGACGATAATTCCTTTTTCAACTATGGCGACCGGGCAATACCCATTACTTCGGCTGATTCCTATCTCAGTATCATTGGGAACGACTATCTTATTAATGTTCTTGACTGGTACGCTGCACTCCACTTATGCTCAATATTGTTCTTGAACCTACGTGATCAGCGGGACGAATTTGGTGGCTTGCTCGTAGTGTAGGTACGACGGTGGGACAGAAGAAAATCAGATGGTATTACACCGTCTGTGCTATGATGTACGTCCTAGCCGTGCTGCCCCTAGCAAGCGTTTTATCTATTCCCATCAAGCTTGGAATCTGGTTCTCTTTACGCTGCCGGCGCACTCCTCGTCACCCTCCTCCCAATATTCTTCTACTCGAAGTCACTCATGAGCGGGGCTATAACCGGTCAATTGGTGGTATGTCTGCTCAAATGCCGGTGAACCGAACAATACGGTTGACGACTTGCAGGGCATAGCCCCGACTATCATCGCAGTCCGGGTGGGCTTGAACAAGAGCATTGAAGGCCCTGATAGTATTGGGAATGTCGAGCAGTCCCATCCTCTCGACGAACTCTCGCACAGGCCTATCGAGTTCCGAGTACCAACAACCCATTCCATTCGAAGCTCCATATCATTGCAGGGAGGATTCGAGAACAGAAATGGCCGGAAAACATACCAGGAGGATATAGTTACCGTGTGTTGAGAGGCTTCTGATAACTGTACATCCATCGTATGAACTCAAATTGCGAGTGACGGTGGAATGAATCCGAGTGTCTCTGAGTTCCGGATCAATGGACCGTGGGACGAAATCACTCAGTTTTGTAATCAGACCTCTCTTCCTCTTCTCCACCATGTCGCATCGCGCTCTCTGCATCCCTGAAATCGTGGCGATGATATGCGAAGACGGGGTGTATCTTGAAGGTTTCAAGCTCAAATGGGACACTCTTACATCCCTTGCAAGAACCTGTAAAGCGTTCCAAGACCCTGCTCTCAATGTTCTTTGGAGGTCTCAATCGACGGTGGTCAACGTTCTTAAATGCATGCCTGGAGAGATATGGCAATGGGAAGATGAAGACCCTGGTCAAGTCACGGTGGTGCGTCTACTATTGTTGTCCCTTCGAATAGGAGCACTAACGGCGAATCGCGACCTCAGGCAAGACCTATCATACCGACAGACTGGGAACGCCCCCTTTTCTACGCGCACCGCGTTAAATATTTCGAGAACTCCTTGGATGCGGGATATGGGCATCTCTTATACGAGACCCTGCGAATGTGTCTGCCGGACGAGCCGTTATTTCCCAATCTTCAGTTCATGAACTGGATTCGGTCTGACAACGACTGGGCCCACTTTCCCTCCTTTCGATCCTTCCTGGGTCCACGATTGCGCACCTTGACTCTCGATGTCCACCCATCGACTGCCGAACTGTCATTGTTGCCGGGTGTTGCGGCTCAGTCCCCGCAGCTCGAAGGCCTATCCATCTACTGTTATGCAGATCTGAACGGGCGATACCAGAGCCTGTCATTTCTGGTACAACAGCTCAATCACCTCCGTCATCTAACCGTTCCGTGCCTCGACGGCCCTGCGTTGGATCACCTGTCGCAGCAGTCGAGCCTGCAATACTTGACACTTCTGGCCCAATTGGCACTTGGTATCCCCGACATCCCTTCCGGGAGCTGTGCGACCACAGGTTCCCTATGAAGAAATTCACCGTATACTTCACCGACTCCCCTACCGTGTCCGGAGTTCTCTTGCGGTTTCGAAACCGCCTCCTCCGAGACGTGACCATCAGACTTCCCGCGACAACACCCGCGAGAGCCGTGGCACAGTGCTACAACACTGCAGCAATGGTCTTTCGAGAGCATCCGCTGTCTGCGCTTTCCATCACATGCGAAAGCTCCTCTGCAACGCTCGATGTTGCCGCCAGTCCAGAGCAAATCGCTCTTTACGCCATTTCAGTGACGTCCCTCTCCCCACTTTTCGCCTTCGGCGATCTCACCAACGTCTGTTTGTCTGGGCCCGTCGGCCTCGATCTTGATGACGGGTCAATTGCTCGTCTTGCGTCTGCCTGGCCACGCTTACTGTGCCTCTGCATCGAGTCCACCTCGTTTAAAATTGTACCTCCGCGGGCGACACTTTCCTGCCTCTTCTCCTTGGCCCAGTTCTGCCCTGACCTCAGGACACTGCAGATGCCAATCGATGCGACCCTCATACCTCAATGGCAGGATCAGAAACCGGAGCGGACCCGCCCGCACCAAAAGGCCCTCACGATGCTGAACCTTTCGGACTCGCCGGTTGGTCCCCCGCTGGCCGTTGCCGGCTTCTTGTCCGGCTTATTCCCCAAGCTGGAATCTGTGCGGTATGGGCGGCTCAGAGACCCTGATACTGGGGCCTTGAACGATGCATGGAGAAAGGCTGTTGGCGACGCGTTGCCTTTACTGCGCGATATACGCGACGAGGAGCGATATTGGACGCAGAGGGAGAACGATCGGGAAGGGTAGTTTTTGGTCGGAGTTGTGCCGAGTACAGCCCCCTTCGAAAGTGTTCTTCTCCTCTCGGTCTCAAGTTCTCAGTTGACGATTCTTCTGCAGGTACGGGTAAATTCCCTTTCAACCTTACTATGTTCCAGTTGCCTGTGTTTCATTCTAAATTCTACCTATTATTCTCCTTGCTGATCACGAGAAATCGCGCAGTTCCCTCAGTTTATCTATTGGTTCGGCCCTCCTCGCCCACCAACACGAACCCTCTTGCTGAGACGCAAGGAAAATCTGGTCCAATGTGGCGTTGTTACTACACTTCGATCCACCAACTTCGCGCGTTGGCCCTGTAGTACTACTACAAAGTCTCTTACAACTATCCCCTCTGCGCTTGTAGATCCATCACATACCAGACGATCTCGAATCCTCGACTCCAAGTCAGCCTGAGGCGCACAGGCTTGGAACGAATTCCTTCCGATCCTTTGACAGCTCAACCTGCCCCTGCCCCGGGACCGTGTCCAGCACCGCGCGCCGTTGCTCCTCAACATGGTCCACCACCGACAGACTCAGGGCGCCAGCCGCGATGCCTGTTACTCCAAGAACGGCGAGACCGTGGAGGACGAATACACCCGCCGCAGTGGCGTTGGCCGGTGCGGAGCTCTCGAAAGCGAGTACACCGCGAGATAGGGTGTAGGTGGCCACGACGGAGAGGTTCAGTGCGAAGTTGAGGAGCGTGCGGAGGGTCAGGGCCAGCGGCGCCGGAGCCTCCGTCCTTGTTGGGGCGCTGGCCACACCGTGCTCGAGCTCGACGGCCGTCGGGGCATCCGCATCGGCAGAGGTGTGGCCGTCAGCGATCCAGATATATGCGCTGGTGGCGCTGAAATACACCAGAACGAGGAGGGAGAGGAAGCAGACTGCGGCCAGGGTCTGCATGCATTTGTTGAGCAGCCGCAATGGGATTTGTATCCACATGGCGGTCGATGTGGCGGGGGGCAGTGTGGGGATGACAACCACGACGAGGGGATACAATAGGCAGAGATAGTATGAAGGGAGGAAGCTTTCGAGGATGGTGGTCCAGCTTAGACGAATAATCTGCTGAGCCTGGGCGGGGGCCATAAATTTGCAAGTGAAGAGGGAGGAGAAGGGAATTGCGGCGACAACGGTCGTTTGAGGTAGTGGTTT